CCGCCTCCGCCAGAGCCTCCGAAGTTATTGCTTGGCCGCTGTAAGTGTTGCTCACTCCCCGCCGAAGGATCCTCCTCCGCCGCCCCTTCCGCCACCGAAGCGACCGCCGCCTCCTCCTCTGCCGAAGGATCCTCCTCCGCCTCTTCCGCCAGAAGATCCGCCACCAAAGCGACCGCTGCCTCCGCCGAAGGATCCTCTGCCACCTCCTCCTCCAAAGTTATTCCTTGGTCCGGTGTAACTTGTACTTACTCCTCCTGAGGACCCACCACCACCTCCGAAAGATCCTCCTCCGAAGGATACTCCTCCTCCAAAGGAGCCACCGCCACCTCCTCCACCGAAGTTATTGGTTGGTCCTCCATATCTGGTACTTATTCCTCCTCCACCGCCACCTCCAGATCCTCCTCCGAACGAACCACCACCAAAGGATCCTCCGCCGAAGGACCAAAGGATCCTCCCCCGAAGGATCCGCCTCCAAGGGCGAAGGATCCGCCTCCTCCTCCGAAGCTATTGGTGGGTCCTCCGTAGGAGCGGCTGACGCCACCAGAGGATCCTCCGCCACAGCCTCCGCTCAGGCAGCTGCTGTGGGCCGACCCGACGACCAAGCCCAACACCACCAAGACACTCCGTCTCTGAAACCAACGGGCTACCTTGCATTACTATTCCGTTAATATGAGAACGCTTTTTCCTGTCTATATTGATGACATATAGTAAGCATGAACTTCTCGCAAGAGTTGAATTCTGCATTCACTCTGCGGAAGAGGTCTTACCATCATGAAAATGAAAGATGATACTGAGGCAGAACAAAGGAGGTGATCTTATATACAGCGTGATTTTTGTTTTAAGGTCAAGTAACTCCGCTTTAGATGACACTGTTTTTTCTCATATGTATCTGAGTCGTGTTGTGTGGAAATGCACACAGATGTACACATGCGCAATTTCTCTGTTTGAAGTTTTGTGCGGGCGGACATTCCCTACCCATTTTTTAAGCAGGCGCCCATTTCCTCACGTATAATTTGCTTTTAAAAATTATGAATCATAATGGTCATACCTTATTATTTTCTAAAGAGGCCAGCAAAGGAAAAATGCTTATAGTAGTTCATTAACTGTTCAATCTTTTATGAACCATAACTTACAACCTATTAATGAGACGAATATAGTGCCCAGTGTGGAGTATACTTCATGACGAAGTCTGCGGCTTCTGCTGATGGTGTTAAGCAACATCGCTAAACCTGACTGTGTCTGGCTTCCACTTCTTTGGCCTTTCTATTTCTGTGGCACGGACCTGCAGCCTAGTAAGATCCTCTCGTTGCCAAAAAAGAACATACACAGCCATACCCATACACACCACACAAATACGAACACAAACACACACTATATATATCTATTCATAAATAAATAATTAGATATGGGTGTAGATACACAAATATATCATTCATATGGACACACACACACACACAACATTTATGTGTGTGTGTGTGTGTTCAGCTTTATGAAAATAGTGTACAACACATGGTTTTGAAGAAAAAAGTATTTCTAGGTAAACATTTTGCACAGCATCATGAATTTCGTAAAAATGCATTCACGGACACACGGAAGGTGGTGAGTGACCTGTGCCCGAAGTCCTTATCACCTACACCAGGTCAAACTCATAACCCTTCGCGGGCCAATTCTCCTTTCAGTTTTGCAGGTTTACGTTACCAAACTCGTATTATGTACTTGTACGTAAAGTTTATATTACTTATCAGATCTTAAATGGCGATACTAATGGTAACAATTTGTATACGACAACATTTTCCTTCATGGCTATCATAATTCCAGAGGTTGATTTTTCTTGTCACCTCGCGGGCCACTTATGATCATCCCAGGGCAAACAATTAGCCCACAGACCATAATTACGACACACCTGGGATATTTCATTCATTAGAGAAACACAATAATATAAAAAACCGTGTGAGAGTGTAAGTAATAATCTTTAAAGACAAAAGGCTGGCTTAATTACTCATTTCAAACGCCGACTGAAATAGCGAATGTGCCGCAGGCCGCACAAGGGAGTGAGGCGGCCCGGGTGTTTGACAGCCCTGACCTTCACTCTCCGATGTCGATATGTTTAAGAAGGCGAGACATTTGGCGATTTCCTTTGTCAAAAAATATTGCCTTGTTTGTTTGTGGTTATATTATTGTTGGAGTTTTGTATTTCTGTACCCAGAATATTAATGTAATTGTAGACAGATACACACATATATAGATATATATTTCAAATTATGGACTAGTCTTTCTTTCTAACTGTGACAAACGCATCGCATGAAATTATTGATATTTCATTATTATACTATCATACTAAAAACGAGCTCATGAGAAATATGAGGAAAAAACACGTACAAATGCTTACCACGCAAAGGATTTATCTATCTATCTATATATATATATGTGTATGTGTAGCCTACATAGACACACATCTGTGTGTTCAAGTATATAAATATGTAGTGTATGTTCTGATATATACAAAAGAAAAAAAATCTGCATACACACACACATATGTGTGTACATATATACGAATACATATTGTATATGATTATCATCATTATCATTACCAGTACTAGCATTATTATTATCACTGGCGTTAGCATATCACCATAATCAATACAAATTTGTTATCAGGATTATCATTACCCTTGCTAATATCATATCATCATAAAGTGTCACATATCAACGACTCTAAAAATCACTTGATTGTTAGATAATTTATTCTGATTATTCCGGTATTCAGAGTATGTCATATCATCGTAAAGTGTCACATACCAACGACTCTAAAAATCACTTGATTGTTAGATAATTTATTCTGATAACATAAATTACATTAATTCAACTGAACATTTATTCCTCCGTATATGCAGTTATTTCCCGAGGGCGGCAGGTAACTGCCAGATACACCGCCGCCTGAACCTCCGAAGGATCCACCGCCTCCGCCGCCAAAGGATCCTCCTCCAAAGGATCCACCACCGAATCCTCCTCCACCGCCTCCGCCAGAGCCTCCGAAGTTATTGCTTGGGCCGCTGTAAGTGTTGCTCACTCCCCGCCGAAGGATCCTCCGCCGCCCCTTCCGCCACCGAAGCGACCGCCGCCTCCTCCTCTGCCGAAGGATCCTCCTCCACCTCTTCCGCCAGAAGATCCGCCACCGAAGCGACGCTGCCTCCGCCGAAGGATCCTCTGCTACCTCCTCCTCCAAAGTTATTCCTTGGTCCACTATAACTTGTGCTTACTCCTCCAGAGGACCCACCCATCCGCCACCACCTCCGAAGGATCCTCCTCCCCCAAAGGAGCCACCGCCACCTCCTCCGAAGCTATTGGTTGGTCCTCCATAACTGGTACTTATTCCTCCTCCCCACCACCTCCAGAACCTCCTCCAAAGGATCCTCCCCCGAAGGATCCACCTCCAAAGGATCCTCCTCCGAAGGATCCGCCACCACCTCCGAAGGATTCCTCCCCAAAGGAGCCACCGCCACCTCCTCCTCCGAAGCTATTGGTTGGTCCTCCATACCTTGTACTTATTCCTCCTCCACCGCCACCTCCAGAACCTCCTCCAAATGAACCACCTCCAGAGGATCCTCCCCCGAAGGATCCGCCTCCAAAGGCCTCCTCCCGAAGGATCCGCCTCCAAAGGATCCTCCTCCTCCTCCGAAGCTATTGGTGGGTCCTCCGTAGGAGCGGCTGACGCCACCAGAGGATCCTCCGCCACAGCCTCCGCTCAGGCAGCTGCTGTGGGCCGACCCGACGACCAAGCCCAACACCACCAAGACACTCCGTCTCTGAAAGCAACGGGCTATCTTGCATTACCTATTTCGTTAATATGAGAACACTTTTCCTGTCTGTATTTATGACATATTAAGCATGAACTCCTCGCGAGAATTGAAATCTGTATTCACTCTGCGGAAGAGGTCTTACCATTATGAATCTCAGGATGATACTGAGGAGCCTAAAAGGTGATCTTATATACAGCGTGATTTTCGTTTTAAGGTCAAATAACACCGCTTTACATGACACTGGTCATTCTCATCTGTACAGGAATTACGTTGTGTGGATATGCACACGCATGTACACACACACGCAATCATTCTTTATAAATTTTTGTGCGGGCAGACATTTTTATTATAGTTTGCTGTTGAAGGATATGAATCAGATTCATAATATTGTGTTTTCTACCTGGTTTCTTTTCCTCGTTACTCACGACAGGAGAATAACAAGAAGATGAAAAGGTTTTATAAGTAGTTCACTTACTCTTCCTTCTTATGAATCATAATCTATGATCTATTGATGAGCCTAGTAAGTAGGCGTATCCTTCATAAAGAAGTTTGCGGTTTCTTCTGCTTTTGGTGACAACTACTTCGAAAAATTTATATACATATATAATTATGTATATATATTCATTTATACATACATACATACATACAATATATATATGATATATATATATATATATATATATATATATATATATATATATATATATATATATATATATATATCATATACATGCATACATATATACGTGTGTGTGTGTGTAGCGTGTAAACACACACATGTATATGTAAATGTAAATGTAGACAAATACATACATAGTATCTATATACATATATATAGATATATTTATGTAAATAAATGATATATATATATATATATATATATATATACTACACACATATCTACAATTTTATATGTATATACATATAAAGTTCCATCGCGATATTATTATATAAAATTATGTACACATTAATATTTTGTGAATGGAAGTAAGTACGTATATATAATGTATATATTCCTTTAAACATGATCATGTACACACACAAACACACACACACATATATTCCTCCGTTTTTTTTTTTTTTTAAATCTTCACACCAAATGAAATTTGCTCCCATGTGGATGTGGATGTGTAGGACATGTCCATAGAAGAACATGCTCGGTATAAAATATATCAAGTATATATATATATATATATATATATATATATATATATATATATATATATATATATATATATATATATATATATATATTAACGTATGGAGATATTTGAATAAAATGTTTACCATAATTCCTCCAGGTTATTTTTTTTCTTCTTTCTATACAGCCTGTGAGTTTCTCATGATCCAAAGACATTGTGTGAAAAAATTTTGAATGTAGAATGTGAAATTTAATCAAAATCATGCACTATCCTTTTTTTTTTTTTTTTTTTTTGTCTTTTACAGAAAACACGCTTCGCCTGCAAATTCGGATATGAAAAAGAACCCATAGCGTCACCTCAACGAATAGTTCCGGTGACGTCACGAAATGTGTCCCTTTACACATAACCAACAATCACCAGTCATGACGCGCAGCAGCAGTGGGGAGAATTCTTTTATTTATATATGTATAAATATGTATATTTAAATGTGTGTGCACACACACATATATACACACACACACACACACATATATATATACATATATATGTTTGTATGCACATATGTATACAGAATCATACGGTAACTTCGTAAACTTGACATTGAAAAAGAACCTCGCAGGCTTTAATGGATATTGAAGACAACATCATACATAAAGATCGACTGATCACTTGAATTGGAACATTGTAGGTTGCATGCGGTGGTTCATTCTCTTCGTTGCTCATTTTCGGGACATAATGCATTTCCGATGCACAATTCCCGCTCAACAGGTCCCATTTCCTCTCACACCATACACAGCTCACGGCCTCGGGCCAGAGGAACCCAATTCATGACTTTCCTACCGGATTGGTGGCGCCGCGGGTTCTGTTTCAGAATTGGCTACAGCAGATGACGTTTTACGTAGAGAATGAACAATTTCAAAAGGCAGCAATTCATAAACGAATAGATTTTTATGTTTTTTATGCGACCTACTTATTTCTTAATGAACTCGGGGACATAAGTAACCAAATTCACCTCAAATTACACACCCTTAACTTACAAAGTGTTTACTCTATAAGTATCTAAGTGTAGAGAGCTTAATGCTAATACATTGCAATGTTTCATCCATACAATAAGGTGTGACTTCCCACGTTATAGAATCTGTATCATTCGTATTAGTATATAGAACATCGTGTGCTCTCTCTCTCTCTCTCTCTCTCTCTCTCTATATATATATATATATATATATATATATATATATATATATATGTATATATATATATATATATATATATATATATATATATATATATATAATATATATATATATATATGTGTGTGTGTGTGTGTGTATGTATGTGTATATATATACATATACATATCTTATCTATTTTTATATCTATGTATATACATACACATAAATGAATATTATATATGTTATATATACATATACATACATGTATATATATACACATATATGTAATATACATATATGTATATGTATAGATATAGAAATAGATATAGATATGTATATGTATACATATATATATACACACACACATACATACACACACACGCACACACACATATATGCTTATATGTATGTACACACGCACACACACACATATATATTATAACCTTTATATACATATATATAGTATATATATATATATATATATATATATATATATATATATATATATGTATGTACAAACACGCACACATTTAAAGGCGTATCTGAATGTACTGTGTATGTAAAAACCACTTGATTGTTAGATGATTTATTCTGACAACATAAATTACATCAATTCAACTGAACATTTATTCCCCCGTAGATGCAGTTATTTCCCCGAGGGCGGCAGGTAACTGCCAGATACACCGCCGCCTGAACCTCCGAAGGATCCACCGCCTCCGCCGCCAAAGGATCCTCCTCCAAAGGATCCACCACCGAATCCTCCTCCACCGCCTCCGCCAGAGCCTCCGAAGTTATTGCTTGGCCGCTGTAAGTGTTGCTCACTCCCCCGCGAAGGATCCTCCTCCGCCACCCCTTCCGCCACCGAAGCGACCGCCGCCTCCGCCTCTGCCGAAGGATCCTCCTCTCCTCTGCCGAAGGATCCTCTCCCCTCTTCCGCCAGTAGATCCGCCACCGAAGCGACCGCTGCCTCCGCCGAAGGATCCTCTGCCACCACCTCCTCCAAAGTTATTCCTTGGTCCGCTATAACTTGTACTTACTCCTCCAGAGGACCCACCGCCGAAGGATCCGCCACCACCTCCGAAGGATCCTCCTCCCCCAAAGGAGCCACCCCCACCTCCTCCTCCGAAGCTATTGGTTGATCCTCCATAACTGGTACTTATTCCTCCTCCACCGCCACCTCCAGAACCTCCAAACGAACCACCGCCAAAGGATCCTCCCCCGAAGGATCCGCCTCCAGAGGATCCTCCTCCGAAGGATCCACCTCCAGAGGATCCTCCCCGAAGGATCCGCCTCCAAGGATCCTCCCCCGAAGGATCCGCCTCCTCCTCCGAAGCTATTGGTGGTCCTCCGTAGGAGCGGCTGACGCCACCAGAGGATCCTCCGCCACAGCCTCCGCTCAGGCAGCTGCTGTGGGCCGACCCGACGACCAAGCCCAACACCACCAAGACACTCCGTGTCTGAAAGCAACGGGCTATCTTGCATTACCTATTCCGTTAATATGAGAGCACCCTTTCCTGTCTGTATTCATGACATATTGTGCATGAACTCCTCGTAAGAATTGAAATCTGTATTCACTCTGTGGAAGAGGTCTTACCATCATGAATCTCAGGGATAATACTGAGGCAGAGCAAAGGAGGTGATCTTATATACAGTGTGATTTTTGTTTTAAGGTCAAGTAACACCGCTTTACATGACACTGGTCATTCTCATCTGTACAGGAATTACGTTGTGTGGAAATGCACACGCATGCACACACGCTCAAACTATTCTTCATGAAGTTTTGTACGGGCAGACATTTTTGTTATAGTTTTCTGTTGAAGCATATGAATCAGATTCATAATATCGTGTTTTCTACCTGGTTTCTTTTCCTCGTTACTCATGACAAGGAGAATAACAAAGATGAAAAGTTTTATAAGTAGTTCACTTACTCTTCATTCTTATGAATCATAATCTATGATCTATGATGAGCCTAGTAAGTAGGCGTATCCTTCATAAAGAAGTTTGCGGTTTCTTCTGCTTTTGGTGACAAACTACTTCGAAAAATTGATATATGTTTGTATATATATATATATATATATATATATATATATATATATATATATACACACATTATATAGTGTGTGTGTGTGTGTGTGTGTGTGTGTGTGTGTGTGTGTGTGTGTGTGTGTGTGTGTGTGTGTGTGTGTGTAAGCGTGTAACACACACATATATGTAAATATAAATGTATACAAATACATACA